CTGTAGACCATGCCGGAGCCAAATCATTGTATGGCAATGTCTCATTAATACGAACACCTCCGTGACCCCCAACCATTGTCCATAACGAGGTAAAAATGTGCAAGTTTGCCCAGTTTGTCCTCGGTAGTTCTGTCTACACAGTGGAAAATCCACATTAATGTGGTCTGTGTTAATGAGACATAACTGCAATTTATGGAAGATCAGCAGGTTGATAGGCATCGATAACATTTGAACTCTATATATGGCAAGTTGATCGGGGTTACTATGACCCTGCTATCGGACACCACGGGCCTGACCCCGCACTGGGCAAATCGCCGCGATTTGGTCACAGCTTGTCATCAAAGGCGACCTGCATCAATCGTGGGCTCTGGGCCTTTTAGAGTCGCAATAGAGAACACGAAAGATAGTTTCTCAGGCATCTTTGCAGCATGTTATGACTTTTTTACTTTATAAAGCTTTATAAAGCACCCCGTTTCATCAAGGGGTGCTTTGCCAATTTTTTAAGCTACCTAAACTAACTGCATTTTGTTAATACCTGGGCCTTACTCTTTCCACCATACTATGTAGTATCTTTGAATTCAGAATAGTTACCGATAAATCTGCAAATGAAGGCGATGCCAAAACTAGGATTCAGATATCCTCGCGCTTTTCGGTGCCGGCACCATCAGACATCTTGTAATCAGTTGGGAACAAGCTCTGCTGCCCCAAGAGTAAACCTGTGCCCGTCATGTTCAACCATTACACATAGTTCAAAGTCATATATGCAACACTGACGTCATGTGACACCTCTATGTCCTGTAACATCACGTGACATCATGACACTGTGTCACATCACAGCCATGTGGCCTCATGACGTCACATGACATCACACACACAGCATGTGCCCAGCTTATACACCCCATTCTGTGCTCCCTGGTCTTCGTCAGCATAATGAAGCAATGGATGGATGAACGGCTGTACCCTTTGTAACGGCTGGTAGCTTCCGCCACCAAGCCTAAAAGCTTTAAAAAAATTGAAAGACGTTTAGAAATTCCTGTAATGCGAAATTTGAGCACAGGTCTTGAGGAGGAGGGGAAGTTTATGCTCCTCCTCCTCCGTACCCTCGCTTCCTCCCAGTTTTCCCGCTAAATTTAGCTGAAAAATTAATGCCACGTGAGGTCACGTGATGGCGATTTTCCCGCTAAATCTAGCGGAGAAACTGAATTTGTTCATAGGTGACGTGACAGCAAGTTATGTGACGTAATTTTCCTCGCTGAATTTATCGGGGAAACTGAATTGGTGGTGAGGTAACGTGGCGTTGATTTTTCAGCTAAATTTAGAATGGTTACACCAACGTCGCGAAACCCGGAAACGGGTGCTTAAGAGCTGCGCGCTAAGAAAAAGCCATAATCTCTCCCCTTTTGAAGCAGCCAGAAAGGAGGAAACTCCCTTTCTGAGCCCGGCCGGTGCGGAGTGCATCAGTCAAACTCGACTCTCCGCTTTGGTACTACTACTACCACTCGTGTGCCTGTTGATATGACATACAGGTGCCTCCATGCTGGTTCAACATCCCGCGTTGGATATCCATGGACTCTTTGCCCTCTGCACCAAGAAACTGGATTACTCGGCACTGTTTCTCCCTAGTGCAAGCTTCCAAGGGGGCAGCCATTTTGAGTGTGCTGAGGTCGCGTAACATTTCCCATCGGGCTGCCAGGCCTGCATGCACAGCTTCCTGTATTTCAATATTTCAATCGCAGCAGTCTATCGCGGGATTTCATTTCTTACAACTAAATTGCAGTTACTCTTTTGCCTTGTATTTGTTCACCCTTGGCCGATTAGTGTGCTGGGCCAATTCTAAAAAAAAAAAAATAAAAAAAAACATGAAAAAAGAACAAAAAGAACTGCAGGGTGTTTTTTGAAAATGTTGGTGCTCAGTTGTCGATTTCTCATTAATGGAGGCGTTTGAACATTGCCGCCTGACCAGATACGCGGCTCAGCTGCTGAGTCCCTCAAGCCTGCTGGCCAAGGTGAACGGCCGGACATCCATCCGCAAGGACGACGTCCGGGAGGTCAGCGACCTCTTCCATGATGCCAAGTCCTCCGCCAAGATTCTTGCAGAGAACAATGACAAGTACATGAAGTGAACCACTCCTGCCTTCCCTTTTTCTCTTTTGTTTCGCTTTCCTCCCATTTCGATGGACCCAATGTTCATCGCTGTTCGAGCATTAAAAGCCGCATCGTCACGTATACAGTGTGTATCTGTTGCGCATGCCTTTTTAACCTTTGTCAGACTAACTAACTAAAGTTAGCCTTAGAGAAGGTAAATATCCCTGTGCAACTACTATACTCATGGTTCTGCTGGGGATAGATGTTCCCAAATGACACCTTACTCTGTTTATAATTGGCAAAGGTACTGTGGTGGATGAACCGGGTAGAGGAGCAATTTAGCCAGTATAGTACAACTGTAGACCTACGGCCCTAAACTCGTGAAACACAAAGTTGGAGCCGAAAGTTCGTGAAGCGCACCAATTGGACGTTGGCGAAAAAAGTGTGAAGTCATCATCGTGATAGGCCAATCGGTTCGCTCGGCCAACTTCGGCCCCAACTTTGTGTTTGATGAATTTAGAGGCCCTATAGTCTTTAATGTGCATCACACAGTATAGTATCTGCAGTCTGTGTTCATCAGCGGCGTAGACTTTTCACCTCCCCGGGGAGGGCAGGCTGAGAAGTTCTCCAAAGGGGGGGGGGGGGGGGGGGGGGGGGGGGTCCGCACAATTTTTTTTTTACACCGGCAATTATCAGTAGTTTATTTTAGGGGGTACATTTCCATGTGTCCGTCGCTGTGTGTCAATGTCAATCACCTTGCAAGCATAGCCGTGTGTTAATCGCCTGTACCACGGCGCATGCGCCGGCAAGCAGAAATCTGAAAAACAAAATGCTTGTGCCAGCTGCGAAGTTGTGGGGGTAGAACCTAGGTTCCTGTGCTTCTGAAGTATTAATCCACTCGGCCACGAGTCTTTATATTCTCTTTAATACATGGCAATAAAGCCTGAGGCTGGAGAATATCAGGTCAAACATTCATTTACAAGACAACTAAGGATCATGGCCCGGGGGGGGGTCACGAGCCCCGATGCCCCCCCCCATAGTCTACGCCTATGGTGTTCATTATTTTGCACAAGCAAAAATTATCCTGCAATAGATGTCAACATGAGGGTCATTGGAAGTCTAACCACACCCCTCCCTCTTCAAGAATGACAACTTATGAAAATCATCATCACTGTCAAGGCCTCTTCCAGTTCACCCAGAGTGTATTTGCAGACCTTTTTTTGCCAAAGGCAACATCGGCATTCACTTGGCATGCTAAGGGCTGTTCAGCAATTTTGAGAAAGCAGTACCTGTTTGAAATTTCAGGGGCTAGAACTGGTTTATAGGACAGTTTACATAGGTTACTTTTCCGTCTCCTCTTTACGCAGAAATACTTACTCGTTTACACTCTTCACTCTCTTGTTGGTACTAGTATTCACATAATCCTGAATCCCCAAACAGTCAGATAGTCCAGTCAAGAAACAGACGTTCTACAGCAGGTTTACCTAGAATGTCACCAAGGCAATGGTATTACTTCAGCCGATTGTGTTGCTAAGCATGCAAACGACGTGCTATAAAGGGTTCCTCGTTTATTAACGTTAATCTCACTGTGAAACGTCCCAATATATACATCAGGAGGTGGAGCCAGATGCAACTTGCGAAGCCTGTCTCTGTCGAAATGGCCAGCTGGGCTACACCTTAAAAGGAGAGATCCTGATTTCAGTGACCAAATAGCACCGGCATTCTCGTGGCGCATCAAAACAGCTGTCGAGCTACAACGAAATCCGACTCGCCTGGGTTGGGAAGGTTGTTGTGAAGATGACATTTTGCTGTGTGCCTTGCTCTGCTGTCAAGATGTTAGCTGAAAATAAAATGCATTGCCAAATTAGATGCAGAAAAAAAAAAAAGATTGTTGCAATAAATTGTTTTGCAAATCATTGCACTCTGTCTTGCAGCATGCACGGGAACGTGTGAATCCTGAGAGCTGTGCCACTCCTTCGTATGGAAAAAGCAATGAAGATTGATAGGATGTGGAAAGAGCAGTTGACAAAATGACCTTTAGGCTTTTATAGCTATCTTTACTTGAAGTTGGTGGTGCAATAACATATTGAAAAAGTGAAAGCCGTTTACAACTCCCTGTAACGCCGAATTGGAGCGCAGCTCTTGAGGAGGAGGGAAGGGTACTGAGGGGAGGGTAGACCCCTCCTTCTCCTCCCCTCATTCTTTAATATTCTCCGGGGGGGGGGGTCACCTGACCTTGGGGGGGGGGGGTGTCACGTGACTTCGGTGGGGGAGGGGGTCACATGACCTTGAGGTGACCTTGGTTACGCCGACGCCGCTCAAGCCGGAAACGGGCGCCTAAGAGCTGCACTCTAAAAATGCTTATCAAACACTTGTAGTGTTTGAGGGGGAAACTACTATACTTCGTTTCAGCTTCGGTCCAAGCGCGGCCGATGTTATGAGCCAAATCGCAGCGTCATGGCGTGCTCTCTGCGCTTGATAGGACAAGCCGGCAGAGGAGCGCGCACAGAGCGACGGCGAATAGCAGCTGCTCCTATCAACTGCAGAGAGCACGCCATGACGTTGTGCCTCTTTCGCTGTTTGATTGGCCCTTCGGCTCATAACATTGGCAACGCTCGGACCGAAGCTGAAACAAAGTATAAGTGCCTGTAGCAGACACAATCTGCATGCTTTTTGAGCTAGCTTGGCCATATCGAGACAAAATAATGTTTACCTCTCACCATGTCGTTCGCCTGGCTGCCACTACTCGGGTCACTTTTAATTCAAAGAGATTTCTGAGCTTGTACGAAGCCTAAGAGCTAATATTTTATGAAGCATGTATATAATGTAGTCCTTATATGGTACATGGTCCAGCAAGCAAGCAAAGCCTGGCCCAGTTTGCTAGAACAGCATCTCAGCCGAGACTGGGTGAAAGAAAGCACTACAAAGGCTGGGGCGCGCGAGCGTCTTGAGATGTGGTTCGAGTCCCGCTCGGCTCATGCACTGGCTTTGGCAGTGCTTTCTTTTACCGAGTCTCAGCTGAGATGCTGTTTCTAGCAAGCCAGCCCTGGTTTCCTTTCATTCTTCTTACATTTGCGGGCGAAGGTGGCTTTGAGCACTCATGATTCCAATAATTCTTGCAGCACTCACTGGTGGTGCAGGAGTTTCCGAAATTGTATTTCAGCAAAAGTGTGCAAATAAATCTTATTCTTCATCGCCCTCGCACTAATACTGTTAAGCAAGTGCAATAAGCATGTGCAACATAATGTTGCTAGACTGCTTACGGAAAGAGTCGTCTGCAAGCTCCTCGAGAGATGTTTCTGATGCAGACGCGGCCCCAGGAATCTTTTCTCCTTTCATGGCCTGCAGTGTTGAAAGCATGAACACATAAAATCAATCACAAAAATGACACCACGTTAAGATGCACTTTAGAAAGATCTGGCAACAAAAAATTCATTGGGAGCGATTCCTTAGTGCTTTGTCAGCTTTAGAAGCTGAAGCAATCTCAATGAAAATCTCTATTTCAAGGCATAGCAAATACATTCCACCTAGCATTTTCATGCAATGGCAGAAGCATAGCATGTGACACTATATGTAATGAGCCTGGTCAGGCCTGTAGCCAGGATTTTGTTTCAATTGGGTGGGTGGGAGGGGGCTGCCGCCCATGACAAAATGCTGTATCAGGGGGAGGGGGGAGAGGAAGTCCCAGCAAAATGGAAGATTTTGGGGGGGGCCCAGGTTCCATGGGCCCCCCCCCCTGGCTACGTGCCTGAGTTTGGTCCTGCTTTAGAGTCGGTAAAAGTACAACCACCTCGCGATACTTCTGCAGATACACTTTCAGTGGCTCAATGTAGTTGTCAAAGCCGAGAGTCGACATGGCAAACAGGATGTCCTCTCCATTAATGGTCTTCCGTTTTTCCTGGTGGCAGCGGTCACTGGCCCTGATATTGCAGTTGAGGAAATCGAGCAAATCCTTTCACAGTAACAACAGCAATGCTCTATTCTGAAAACTCGGTGGTCTGGAGGAACCCTCAAGCCACTCTCAAGGATGTCCAAGCGGCCTTCCCCCCTAACTTTGGCATTCTTGCAGCAAAACAATTTAAAAGTTTACAAACTCTGCTGATTTGAAATGCGCTATATATATTCGGTGACAGGTTAAGTGTTAAAGAGTGTTTTTATCGAAACATATTTTCGGAAAGGGTACTAAAAATTCAGCCTATAGCAGCGGTTAAATCATTAAAAAACTGTTTACATAATTTATAATCGTTAAAATACGCTGAAACCGAAACCGAAACTAACTTGCCACTCGACTGGTCCGCCATTTTGATGTGACGTCACATATGGTATAAACACTCGCACGTGTGCAGTTTGAGCCTGGCCAGCCTGGCAGCAGGTCACTGTTTTGTGTTCGTGCCGCGGATGAAAATGGACTCATCAAGCTCGTCTGAATCGAGCAACGATGAGGATATGCGGCTAGATTTTGAGGACGATGACGATAACCCGTTTTCATACGATCCGCCGGCATCGCCTCCGAGGGAAGCGCCAGCGGCGGCTGCATTCGTGATCCGCCGCCATGTGGACCCAGATGCCGCTTCTGAAGCGGAATGGTAAGGCAGTTTTTGTTGCTAGCACGCCAAGAAAAACTAATCGACGTTACGCCTTTTAATTGGAGGCACTTTTTGTTATATCTTGGGGTCTGACAATAGACGGTTTTAGTAGACCGTGTTCTCAAGCGACGCTTCCGTAGCGCGAGATCGCGCCGCCACTTCCAAGCATGCTCTAGCGCGCGCCCGGAGGGGTAGCGGGCCTCTGATAATTATCTACTAAAACTCCCTATGGACAGAAGGCACGAGCGCAGGGACGGAAGATGTCACATTGCTGCGTTTCTTTGTGGTGTTATTACACCCTACGGCACAACACCAATTCCCTCCAGTCGCCATTACGCGCTCTTACATAACTGTATAAACCGATAAAATAAGCAAAAACCAGACAGTCCTAGCACCAACAAGCTCCAAAGCAAGCACCCTGACCAACATGTGACGTCACGGCAACGTCAGTGCCATCATGGCAGCCTCCGTGTGCCGCTCTTCCTCAGTGTTGCCAGTAGGGCGGCAGCAAGTGATTTGGGTGTGGACGTGTAAATTTCAAAATTCATTTTCTTCTAAAAAAATTAATATTTTTCTGAGATATTTCGTACACATGCTCAGGAAGGGCATCCAAATACATGGTGAAACTTTTATAGAAATCGGTGACTATAAAAATTACGGCGGAGATGCCCTTTAAAGGGGTTATGACACGCCAAAAATAAAATATGAGATAACAATACTGCTAAAACCCACTGTATGTTCCTATAATCCTGATAAATTCGTATTGAAAATGGCGCGATAGTTTTGTGGATAAATCGATTTATGTGCGGATCCCTCGGAGGGGCCGGCCGGGTGGAGCTGAAGGCTGGTGACGTAGCCAGCCTCCAGCGCGGCGTTTCCTTGCACGCACTCACAGACTTGGCTCTCTTGGCGTCTCTAGCTTCAATTTCCTCGTTTACCTTCCGCGTTTCGAGCATGCGGTCCGTGAAGATTACGTCTACGGCATCGCTCGCCTTGTCAAAGTGTTCGACAATGATCGCAGCAGCGATGAGAGTGATTGTTATCAACAGATGTTGGAAGCTGTTCATCTTGACTGCGACCCGCTGGCGACCAGCCACAGCGACGGCGAGTTGCAGACGGGCTCGCCAGATCACCGTCGTCCGGGAATATCTCGCAGGTGCATGCAGGGTGGAAGGTCAACAGGCTGGGGGCGAGATCAAGAATAGCTTCCAGGTTACCAAAAAAGGGGTTTGAACGGTTTTGATCGTACCGCGGCGAGGAGAGCTCGGGCCATCATGGGGGCGCCTAGAATGAAAGAGCGTTCATGGTCACGTGGTTTATGGACACCATGGCGTGACTAGCTCGGGCAGTGTTGCCTGGTCGCCAGATGAAAATGATAAAAATTCGTAAATTGATTATTGCAATTACTATAGCTCTAAAAATCGTGTAACTTGGTGTATACACTAAGTAGCCTATGAGCATTCCATTTCAACAATAATCTATCCGTTTAATTTTCGTGTCATAACCCCTTTAAGGGGAAGCTCCTCCCACCTCTTTGCACTTTAGCAGAGCAAACACTGAAGAGGATGTTGCCTCCTCTCCAGCATTTGTTCTGGTAAGGTGGAGAGAGGTGGGGGAAGCTTCCCCTGAACTCCCTGTCACCGACTCTTGAAAAAAACTGTCAGACTGTATGGCTTGAAGCAATGCATTAGCAGATTGCTTAACCATACTCTGATTATGCCTAGGGTGGAGAAGCACTTTACTTAGACAAACAGACATTATAAGCACTAAAGAAACCCAACGGGGTACTGCAGGGAACTCTCGAGTCCATACGACATGGACCCCTGCAAACCCAGTTTGAGAACCCCCTCCACTCGAAAAGGAAAAAGGATACTCGCTGGTGATGAAACTGACAAACTCTGAAACGCATTCTTGAACGCACTCCTTCGCATCTTTGGCTATCTGCAAGAGCAAAGGGAAGAGTTAGACAAGTGCCCCATTGAACATCATCTAGGAATAGGATTGAAGAAAGGCAGCTTGCCTTTCCGCTTTTAGGAATTGCGTTCTTCATAATCCGAGCCACGTTAGCAATAGGGAGAAAGCGGTCCTGAAAAAGAGGTGACAATTAGGCTGTTTTTTGCTATCTGGAACCTGTGTTTCAATCTTCCAAGTCGTCGCAATGGAGAGGAACTCCTGGGCCTGGCAGCCTTACCTGTTCCCGTAGGGGTTCGGAGTCTTTCTGACTGTCACCTTGGTCAGAGCCATCACCAGCGATCCCTAGACCGTCCTCGCCTTCAGTGCCTGATAAAGATCCTGGAATAATGAGTCCATAGTGGACTTGCAACAGTGTTTGCCAGTATTGCAGAGTTTTGCTATAACTTGCAATGACATCTCATCAGCATTAGAAAAGACATGGTCCTCAGTAGCCTGTCTGTCTGCAAGCCTTGTGAGGAGATGGCACTTGAGGATGAAGTTACCACTCAAGCAACCTACTTATCTTCCTGAAAGTAAGTGAACTATCAAGCAATTTATCAACTAGCAGTGATTCGAGTAGGTTTTTCATGAAATGTGTTTGTAACAAAATCACCGGTCTAGTTCAGTAAAAGTAGTTCTTAAACTGAATTCATGTAATTGATTAGGTTTTTTGTAAAGATGCAGCCATTTAGTAATGATCTGTGGAACAACAATCATTACGCAAATGCGGCACAAACGACCTTGACAAAAATACTTGCACCAGCAGAAGTGGATTGAGGTGGCATGCATATAATGATTATGTGGTTTTCTGGTCGTTATTTATTTACACCAGTACAGTACCTTCGTGGACGATGTACTGGCCACTTGCAGCAAGGAAGGAGTCCGTGATGTTACCGGTATCATTGTCGCCGTTCTCCATTCTGCAAAGCGGCATGCATTGTTGGGTAAAATATATCTAAAAACTACTTGGAGTAAAGTACTATAAACACAATGTACTGGGTGTCGCAAACATAAACTATGCGTCGCCAAACACGGATGCTAAAGTTTCAGCACTGACTGTTGTTGTCTTATTCAAAAGTTATGAGATTGAAGATTTTAATGGGAAAATAAACCCATTTTCGGTAACTGGCGTCATAGAGCTCGATTTATTCGAGACCTCAGTCGGTCGCCTTTTTCCCATTGAAAATTTCAAAAGATCGCATAACTTTTAAAAAATAATTAGTGCTAAAACTTTAGCACCTGGTTTGAACCGATAGAGCTTCACGTGAGCGGAGCGTCCGGCGAGGCGTAGTTTATTTTTGCGGTGTGAAAAAAAACCCTGCAAATTGCTTTTTGGGACACCCTGTACTTTCCAACACTGGTGGTATAACATGTCAGAAATTTGCCTAATATCGAGAAGCCGATCGTCAATTTTAATTTGAACATTATAAAATTTGCTTAAAACTGCCAAACCGTCCGCTTTCGTGAAGAAAGCTTCATTGGTAAGTCAAGACCACCGTGGTCAACACATTCACAAACATAAAACAACGAAATCACGGAAGGCGCGCTTGAAGGCCGCCCCGGTTGTCTCTAAGATCATTAAGCCTATTTGTTCGTGCCATTAGCATTCGAAATACGCAGAAAGTGGATCATTTGGTTTTATCACGAAACCGGCGGCTTTCTTTGAAATGCCCAGAAGGATATCCACTTTCACATGCATGAATAGCATGCTACGGCAAAGCATGGGGCAGCATTTCGTTATGGGGGGACGTGTACCCGAAGGACTGCATTCGCTCGCCATGTCAACGAATGTTACGCAGTTAAAAGCCCGGTCAACGCTCTTCCAGCGGTTATAACGCGCTTCGCACTTTCAAACCGAGTTGTGGAGCGTTTTATTGGGCAGGTGCGGTTTAATTCGGCCTTCCAGCCTTCAAATAATGAAGCCCGAGAATCTATTGGTCAAAGTCACGATAAAAGGACAAACCTGAACGCGACAGCAACTTGGTTGGTCAGCCCAGAACCAGTAAGCGACGAGCGCACAATGCCTTCGTTAGAACCTGGCTAATCGGCAGGATTGATACAATCGACGTTCACTGCGTGCCTGCATCAAGAGAGAATCTCGACAAACGGTCAAGAATCGCCGATGTAAAGGCAAACTAAACACTTTGTAGAGATCGAAACGCTCAGGATGTGAAACAAGCCTTTTTTCGCAACAATGGCTGCGAACGAGGGCAAACGAAGGCGAAGCTGAGAATCCTGTTTCGAAACTTGATTTCAACACCAAAGAAACAAAACAAAAAACTTTCTTTTTGTAAAGAATGCAATATATTATTTTTACGTTGATTGCATTTTTTTTTCTGTGTCACGGCTCTCATAAGTTGCGTATCATTTCTAACTCTTACTACAACGACGCGTTCAATGAAGAATTTCGCTAAATTTAGCGGTGACCGTTACGCGTGTTGTCAGCACTGGCGCTGCAACGTCATGCGCAACGCTGGCGACGTGGTCGCTTCTTTTGCTCCGGTGTACGCTACGCTGCGCTACGCTTTCCGGTTGTTCGCTGCCCTGGCAGCAGCTCTGTGAGTGTGCAGTCGGCAGTTAGCAGTGCTTTCGACGCCATATACTTAAACAACAGCGGCTCTCCGACCAAGCAACATGGGAAGTAAGTCCCTCATCCATCTCATCACTCTGAACTCTCATTAAGCTTTTTGTTCTAGGCTTTTTACATAGTCAACTCTAATCCCCGAGGCACGCGTTGCTTTGGTGATTTCGCGAATTTCAAGATCACTTCGCCGGTCTTAGCCGTCGAGTGGTAGGCACGGCTAGTGACCATCAAGTACGATCATCACTCTTATATGTGGACTTCCTGAGTAATCTGTGCCACCAATAAACGTGGTTGTTTGTTTGCAGCGCAGTTAGGTTTGTTTGCAAGCGGCACCTTCGCCGAGCCAAATTCGAGGTCATGATGGTCGCTGAAACGTCCTGGTGGTGACGTCGACACATTACGGTTTATCTTCGAACCCCTGGATCGAATTAATGTTGTACCATTACACCCTAACGCTTAGTTGACCTCCACCTGCCTTGCATCCGTGGCTCTGTATAGCGCGCCACACATTTTAAACGCATTTCGGATCGGCTTTTGCCGTCAGTTTTGCGCCAGGTGACACAAACGGCTTTTACCGGGCCGTCCCAATGTGCCGCTTTACATTGTGAGTCTCTTTTATGGATGTTGCATTCTGTCGTGCTGCCACGTAGATTGCTGTAAAACCTTCAGAGCATTGGGGGTTGCTCAGGTATTCCCCTAATGCTCACCTTATGCCGACTGATAACAAGCCCATGTGTCTGAGAATATCAAAAACGCCTAACTTAAACTCGTCTTTCTTTTTTCTTTTTTAAGATCTACGCATGCAGATTGATGACGTGCAAAGTGCCACAGTTTAGACTTCTATGTACTATCAGACGTGCAGCTGTCTACACATATGGGAGCAGATCATGTACTTTGACAGTTTCGCCTGTTTCCTTTTTATTTCTGACAGGTGGTATCTGTCTTAGTGTCATTATGTAAATTGTACTGGTATAACATTTTGTTCTTTTCTGTGGTTACAGTTAAATTTTTGGAAGTTATAAAGCCCTTCTGTGGCATCCTGCCTGAAGTTGCCAAACCTGAAAGAAAAGTAAGTCATTTTTTTTTATTATTATTACTTCTTAATGCCTTCTTGTTTCGACAGTGTCCCATTTTGGCCTGGTATAGCATGTACTGATTATCGCTTTTTGTGTTGCAGATTCAGTTCAGGGAAAAGGTGCTATGGACAGCAATAACACTGTTCATCTTCCTTGTCTGTTGCCAGGTGAGCACATAAACCCTTCTATATAGAGATTCCATCACATAGAAAGCAAAAGTTTCAATAAGGTTCAATAACATTCCAGTGCCTACGTCTTTCCGACATGGCTTTCTGTTTCTGACCTCTAATCTAGAAGCTTAAATTGCATATCTGCAAGGGCATTCTTTTAGCTAGCTCTGTTTAGTTATGAACTTTCGTGTAGCTGGAGAAAATTGTCTAGCAGGAGACTCAAGTGGAGTGTCATTACTGAGTGAGGAGGTCTTACAAGTTCCTCACACTGGATGTCCTTGTAATTACCGTAAAATACCGGGGGTGCCCACCCCACTTTCCCTGAAAACTGGGTTAATCTAGACATGGGCAATTGTCCAGTCAAATCGGGAGCTTAGCATATAATATGCAGAATTCCCAAGTTTAGGAGATGTTAATAGTGGGCGCTTGGGGGAACGAAGTGGGCACTTCTGCGGTTTTTTTGTAGTAGTTGAAGGCCATTTTTTCGTGCAGTTATTTGCTCCTCTCCGGTGCTCGCTTGTCACATACTGGACACCAGAAGCATGATCTCAAGACACGGAATGCGAGCATTGTGTCTTTTCTACTTGCAGATTCCACTTTTCGGGATCATGTCATCGGACTCGGCGGACCCCTTCTACTGGATGCGAGTCATCCTGGCCTCCAACCGAGGCACACTGATGGAGCTAGGCATCTCGCCCATCGTCACTTCGGGTCTCATCATGCAGCTCTTGGCCGGTGCCAAGATCATAGAGGTTGGAGACACTCCCAAGGACAGGGCGCTCTTCAACGGAGCACAGAAACGTAGGTCCTTTCACTGCTCTTTCCCCAGCTGCAACATGAAGGTACCGCATCAGCCGTTTGGAGATGATGGGGTGCCTCTTTGGGGTTTAGTTGCTGTAACTATATTTTTGCTGGTATGCTGCATTTAACGAGTTTCCTCTTTATTATTTTTGCTGTGTGGGCTGGTGTGATTGAGAAGATATTCACTGTTGTGGATACATTGTGCTACTGGAAGTTACAGATCTCTGCTTCGCCATGTGGTTTTTCCTGCTGAGCATGCGAAGCATCAATTGCTATAGTTCATGAAAGCAGCTTAATCAGCGACGGAATCCGAGCAAAGTTCTTAGTTCTACGAGTTCACTCTTTTTCTGACATGAGCATGATCATTGGCTAAGCTCTCTCAGTATATTGCCATAATTGGCACGTGTCATGCACCACAGGAAAGCATGCGCACGGGCATCATTTTAGGCATTGTCAAGCTGACATTCCTTTGCTGTGGGAGTTGATAAACCTAGCTAGGGATGCGCTTTATCTGAGGGTTCTGTTCTGTCTTTTTGTTCCAGTGTTCGGCATGGTGATCACAATCGGGCAGGCAATTGTGTATGTGATGACTGGCATGTACGGAGACCCCGCAGACATTGGGGCGGGCGTCTGCTTCCTCATCATCATCCAGCTGTTTGTGGCCGGCCTGATAGTGTTACTGCTGGACGAACTGCTTCAGAAGGGCTATGGCCTCGGGTCTGGCATCTCACTCTTCATCGCCACCAACATCTGCGAAACCATTGTCTGGAAGGCCTTCAGTCCCGCCACCGTCAACACTGGCCGGGGTAAGTGGAAACCCTGCATGTGCGCAGTTTCTCTCGGTTCAGAAGCTCTCGCTTTGGAGATTCAAGGCTTACAAGTTTGCAAGGCTGCTGGTTACCTTCACTGCCTTTTCTAAAGTCTCCAGTAAGAGCTTCTAGAAAAAGCCACTACTTTGGCATTTTTTCATTCGAGCTTGTGTCTACTTTTGGTGCGGCCTCCTTTTGCATTTGTGGCACTACACACTGGCTCATTTTTGGGGGCTTGAGGAGAAGACAAATGCTACTGCTGAACATGTTTCTAAACCACACTCATAGCCGCTGGTAGTCTTAGAACCATGCTGTGCATATTTTAGCAACCTCACCTGATAACTCTGTCATAAGTTGCACATAGACTTGATAACCCTTGTTCCCCATAGTTAGTTTTCTAGGCCTTTGTAGAGCTTTGCTTTGTTCTGGGGTGGTTGCCCCTTCAGTCTTACCAGACTGCTGAAGCCTTGCAGAGCTGTTTTAAAAGGGTGTCGATGCAGTTTCTGATGCTGCGCCATATTCTCTCCGTCTTTTCAGGCACCGAGTTTGAGGGTGCCATCATTGCCCTGTTCCACCTGCTGGCCACCCGGTCGGACAAAGTGCGAGCCCTGCGGGAGGCCTTCTACAGGGCCAACCTGCCCAACCTGATGAACCTGCTGGCCACCATCCTTGTCTTTGCCATAGTCATATACTTCCAGGTCTGTGCAAACGCCTCTCACCTCTGGTAAAGACTGCTGCTTCAAACCGGCGGGGTAGGGCAGCGAGAGCCGTTAAGCCAGTGGCAGAGCCAAGAGTTTGTTTCGGAGGGGTGTGGGGAGGACCTGCCAATTCATGCAATAGATGAATGAATACAGCTGAACCCTTCAAGTTGAGTGGTGACTGGCTTGTCTTAACTTCAGCATCAGGAATAACCATTGTGTTTTGCCCCGGGTAGGTGACACATGTTGCTTTCTCTCTTTAGCTGTCTCTGACACTGTGTAAAGTCTCATCATCTTGGGATTTTTGTCTGTTTGGTTGTGTGAGGTCTAAACCAGCCTCTGGTGTCTCTTCTGTGATAGTCTTTTCAGTTAGCTGACCTTTAGTGCATAGTTCACACCCGGTGTTTCTGCACTCATTGCCTTGGAGACGGCTAAACAAGAAAGATGGCAAAAACAAGGTGCCGGCGGGTTTTGGAAAAAGAGAAGAACCGAGAGGCCTCCTGCTGCGCCGAGCTTCGGCACACAGCATGCCACTATTCTGGACCATCCCCAGTGGCTGCTTTTCGACATCAGTTTGCCACTGTTGTCTGACCATCTTTTGCACAGCCACATTTTCTTTCTCTATGTGTAACGCTTGACACTGGAAGTGAAAGTTCTAATGTCTGTCATTTTGTCTCGCTCCTCAGGGCTTCCGCGTCGACCTGCCCATCAAGTCTGCCCGCTACCGTGGCCAGTACAGCTCGTACCCCATCAAGCTTTTCTACACATCCAACATCCCCATCATCCTTCAGTCCGCTCTCGTGTCCAACCTTTACGTCATCTCTCAGGTGAGTGCTTTGCTTTTCAGGAAGACTTTACAAACACATTCGGTGCTTTTTGCTTGTGTCTTGAAGCATGCATTCTCAAACAACTGCACCTCACTAAATGCAAAGCAAGTGCACCGCTGGGTGTCTATCTTCTTTGAAAGCAGCCCTGTTAATTTTCCTAGCCTTCGTTTCTTTTGGGTTGTGTCTTGACAGAATTTTAGTTTTAATTACTGCAGTAATATTCATTATTCTAGTTTCATTTTAGAAAGTCACGTACCTACTCCGGGTAACACTTCCTGTTCACGACACACTATGATTAGGCTTGTATGTTTCTGGCCGATACCTTATTTGTCTCAAACATAGTTTTGGTGATTTTGAACACGAGCCGATTTTTCCCTTACTTTTCAGCATCAAATATGTTAAACCATACTTTTACTCCCCAATCTCTGAGCTATAAAATATATCCAGTCCTAATATATTTAGAACAGAGAATGTTGTGAAGTCCCACTTTAAAATATGCACAAACCTCTTACATTTTTTTACAGTGGAGCTGTTAAGGGCCAACCAGACAACCGGCTTGCCGGTTGTCTAGTTGCTGCTGTCGCCCATAGATGGCGGCAACCTTTCCGGCCTTTCCACTCTGGTTTTTTCACCAGAGTGGAAAGGCTAAATTTCTCTAGGCGTCGTTTTAGAAATCATCGTCTTAGACGTCATCCTCGAGGTCGTCCTAGACGTGGTCCTTGAGGTCGTCCTAGACGTCATCCCTGAGGTCGTCCTAGACGTCGTGCTCTAGGCACCGTCCTAGACGTCGTAAAGATGACAGCTTCGCTGGTCCTTCATCTTCACATGAAGTGGAAGGGCTCTACATTTTTAATCGAGCTCATTGTGTAATTATATTTTCAGATGCTGGCAGTAAAGTTCAGTGGAAACGTCTTCGTGAACCTCCTTGGTGTGTGGGCGGTAAGTTTTCCTTTTGATCGCTCTGTTGTTTTTAGTTGCAAGCCATGGGTCAAATTAATTTGCAACCCAACAATCCGTACATCGTCGCTTGGTGTGCGAGCAAGGGTGCCCAGTGGCCGAGTGTTAGTGCACTGCACACTTGTGCATGTGTAGAGGAAGCTTCTGATATACAATCTAGAGTACCCGAGTTCAATTTCTGCCCCTGCCCGTCTCAGTCTGGATGGGCATTGTACTGTCGTGCATTCATGTAATCGCTTCTTCATGATGCATGTTAAGAGCCGCAGGTTAGCAGTTCAACTGCACTGGCTCAATGTCTCACCCGCAATGTGAGTCAGCATTGCCATATACAGTCGACTCCCGATAATTTGAAGTCGCTTAATTGGAATTATAGGTTAATTGGAAGTGAAGTAAGGGTCCCATCAGTTCTGCATGCAATCCTTTGGGAAAAAAATGCTCGGTAATTGGAAGCGAAAAGTCTAAAATATTGGATAATTAGAAGCTGATTTTCAATCGGAAGCGTCAAGGGAACCGTAATATTTGATAAATTTCCAAGTTTTAAAGTGCAAAAACAGGTTTGTGTACCGCACTGGTGTCATTGGCATCACTGCCGACCACAGTGTTGCAGCTCATGAAGCGGCAAGGTTAAACAGTCAAGACTGGCGCAAACACGTTGCAACAGGGGCATCGCTTTTGTTTCTTTTTGCGTCTTTTCTCTAGTTGGTTCAGGAGTGCGCTGGTCTTGTTCCACCGGTGGTTCCACGTGCCGCATTTCGGCTCCAGTCGCGACAATGACAACTCATAGATCGTATCGCACGCTTGACTTGGCCACGAAAGTCAAAATTTTGAAAGTTGAGAAAGGAGGCGCCGCTAAGCATGACATTGCACGGAAATATGGCATCAAGCCTAACTCCCTCTCAAACTTCATCAAGAGCAAGCGCTTGATACTGGATGCTTTTGAGTATGATCACTTCAAGCTCTCTCGAAAGAGAATGCGCACCAGCGCCCACCCGGAGTTGGAGCAAGCGCTTCAGGGACTGTGGTTTCATAGCAAGCGCTTCAGGCGATGATTCGTCTTGTCCATTAGGGGAAGCAGAGACAAGTGAGCTTGATGACAATGGTCTTGCAGCAGCTCTCGGCTACTTCCGTTTCGAAGAGTATGTTCAGCACAGTGGAAACAAGCGGTGAACTGACGGACATTGAAATCATTGAGATTGTTCGGCCACGCGAGGCTAGCAACGAAAGTGACATCGACAACAACGTTGAAACTGAGCCGCAACCGCCGGCTGCTGATGTAGCTGCGGGCCTTGCCCTCACGCAGCGGTTTTTCGCAGCAAAGAACAATGCTGAAGAAGCACTCGGGCACATCTACAGTCTGCAGAACTTACTTTCCGCAGCAAGATTCTGCAAGAAAAAGCAGACGGCAATTGCCGATTTTTTTTTTTTTTTTCATGAAAAGTCAGTTTTTAAATTAGTAAAGTGACCCTTTTTGTTCCTTGCGGTTAATTGGAAGTTTGTTTAATTCAAAGTTTTTCACAGTCCCCGTGAATTTCATATTAACGGGAGTCGACTGTGCACGTTTGCAAGTCCCGCTTCAGGGCGCTGCCATCTTGCTCGGTTGGGGTGCTCTTGGATGCGTCATAATTTGATTACGAAGCCTTGCTAAGACGTCATAGTCGGATTATGGCCGTGCCCAAGCGCACCCCACTGAGCAGTATGGCCGCGCCCTGAGACCAGACTTGCAAACGTGTATACCGAGGGCAGACTGACCTCACACTATCTAAACACTCGCATCTAAACCCCCCTTTGCTTTGCATGAATGTCAAGTTTGGGAAAGCTAATTTTTTTAATGCCGTCGAGAGTGGGAGTTTTGTTGCAGTACAAAGATTAAAGAGAAACTGAAGCGGTTTTGTATTTGAGAAAAAAAATACCTAAATCGTCTTCATTTGGCCTCCAGGATCCCAAATGTTGAGATTAATTTTTAATATGGTGCACGGGCGCTACAGAAATTAATTTTCAAAAGTATCGTTGAAGCCCGTTCTTCCCGCAGCGTGACGTCACATTAGAAGTTTTCGGAATGTTCGCTCTCGCGCAGCTTTAGTGCCTGTCAAAGCTGTGCACGCGCACTCTTGCTATTTTCAAAAAGGTCAGTGTCAGTGTGGGGGAATACACCTGGCAAGCTTGCATTTGCACGCGCTGCCCAAACGAGCGACATGCGCTTGCGGCCCAAATATCCTAGTATGACGTCACGCCTGGTCGGAGGCTCTTCACGTTTCTCGCGTTTAGTTACATCTTCAGAGAAAACGAATGTGATATTCAGATTCACGGGATAAAAATACGCCAGAATTCACCTCTAACTCGTTTTTTTTTCTCAAGAAGTGTTTCAGCCTCCCTTTAAATTTGACATGCACATAACCTAAAGAGAGCCCATGTGCTTTTGCTTCCCTATTTTTTTGTTAACTCGTTTCTCTAGTCTTATACTTTATTCATCAATAAGTCGACAAAGGCAGTGGAACTGTCTTGAATTACCGTAAAATACCAGGCAAGCGCCCCCTCAAAATTTGGAGATAATTGCGGAAAAATAGGGAATGGGCGCTTGTCCAGTCATAAATTTTACATACCAATGTACTGTGCACATTTTCTCAGATCTTACAAATTTGGGAACGAGCGCTTAGTGCGGAATGGGCGGATGCGCGGTATTCTATAGTACATACTGGAAGCACACTGACCTGTCATTTCTGCTCTGCACTACACTTTTCTGCAATGGTGTAAGCTGGGGCAGGTAAATCTAACAAGCCTATTATCACGCAGAGTTGAGTGAGGCGCGACAGGGCAGTGGAAGCGAAGCTTCCACCGCCCCGTTTACTTAGCGGCGAATGGAGTATACTGGAACTTATCGACATGGCAGCGGGGGCAGTGCAGTACCGGTCTCCATCTGTGTCCCGTGGCTGACTCGCGGGGTTTCTCTCGCCCCGTTTGCGCAGGACGTGGGAGGGGCAGGTCCTGCCCGGGCGTACCCGATTGGAGGCCTGTGCTACTACCTGTCTCCCCCCGAGAACCTGGCACACATCCTGGAGGACCCCGTCCACGCGGTGCTCTACATCATCTTCATGCTCGGCTCGTGCGCCTTCTTCTCCAAGACGTGGATCGAGGTCTCTGGCTCCAGCGCCAAGGATGTGAGTGGAGCCGCTCTTTCTTCCTCGCACAACCAACGATAACTTGAAACTGGGGGAGTGGGCACTGGGCAAAGTGCACCTGAACGGGTACTCGAGGCCCTTTTTGTTGGTATCTATCATTGCCGTCGGCAGGATGTCTCTTTCGGATGCCCAGTCTCCGGCGTGCGCTTGTTTCCTTAAGTTGTGCTTAAACTGCGTGCGTATGCTCGGGAGCTCGAGGGTTGCCCGAGCACTATCGAAGGGCTTGCACTGGAGGTGGCACGCCTGAAAGACCTCCCCGTCGTTTTTGTCCTTTCTTTAACTATAGATCCCCGGGTGGTCTAAATTAATCCTGCATTCTTTGCTCGCATCTGCCAGATGCCCTCTGTTGGTTTGATGTGTAAACATCCGAAAACTTGCTTTTTGATGACTTTTTACAAAAAGTGTTTTTTTGCATATTTCGAGTTTTAGCCTCGCAATAATTTTGCTCGCAAACGTTCCTGCCCCTTTTGTTGTTTTTCGTTGCTTTTTTTCCGTCAGTTAGCTGGCTGGTGGAAAGGTGGACTGACCGCACGCGAAGTTCTAATTTGGACACTCTCTCCTCGGTGATGTGGAGTGAATTGTAATTGGAGAGCATAGCTTTACAACCGACAGTATGGAAACTTAGCAGGGCAGTCAAAAGGGAGAATGGGACGGATGGAGGACGTTGGGGTTGGTATCCAGAGGATCTGCATTACGTATTTTAGAGAAGCCTAAAAGACATTATTCTACAAGTTTACTTTTATAGTCGTAATGGTAGGGGATTATTGGCCAAGTATTAATTTTAACAGTTCCTTCTCCATCGTTCAGCTAAAAAGCTAAGAAAAACTTAGCTTTTTAGCTGAACTAAAAAGCTAAAAAGCTTTTTAGCTTTTTAGCTTATTTGTGCTTGTAGTATTGAAGGGCAATGCATGCACCATGTTTTTGGCTCCTGCATTTGCCTGATTTGTTTGACTAGAAAATGCACCTCTCTCCTACTCTCTGTCGTGTGCTGCACTTTGTGACGAGATATTTGCCTAGAAGTTGTGGGGAAAGTTGGCCAGTAATATATATTGAGTTAGCTTAGAAAGCAAAAAGCAAAAAAAAAAAAAAAAAAACACTATTAAAGCTGGTTTACACACTTGCGACTGCTTACAACCGAAGAGGCTTAGAAACCGGCCATGTCACAGTCAGTTGTAGTCACCCTGCAAGTGTCTAAACCAACCTATAGAGAAAACAACAACTGTTTAGTGCCTTTCAGGCCTTGCGGCCTTAAGAACGGCCTTCAGCTCAATCAGGTTTAAGTTATGAAACATGTCACGCTGGTCGTTGGATCCTGCAACTAATGAAAAGGAAGAGCTAAATCTAAATGTGGCATTGCTCATGGTGCATCTGGAATTGGAGGAGTTTACAATTATAATAAGTTTATAACTGTGCATTCTCTTCGCAGTAAAATAGGTTACTACCAGATGAAATAGCTCGAGTCGAGAGCCAACCAAAATTTATTTCTTCTTTATCTTTATTTAATGGCGCTTTTCTATATTGATACTTAAACTTGGATTTGCTATGTGTCCAGGTTGCCAAACAACTGAAGGAGCAGCAGATGGTGATGCGCGGGCACCGAGAAAAGTCCATGATCCACGAGCTCAACAGGTACATCCCAACAGCCGCCGCATTTGGAGGCCTCTGCATCGGAGCGCTGTCGGTGCTTGCAGACTTCCTGGGTGAGTGACTGCCTGCGCACTTGATTGCCGGTTACCTTTGTACAGCAGTGCTAACTTCTGCACACATAGAGCTAATGTTTATGCCACGGTTCTGGCACCGGTGGAAGAGTTGGAACTGGCAGGTACAGTAAAGTGTAGCTTGCATGGTGTAGAGTCTGCATTGTATAGACCTATCTCACAAAGATGTCGCCATCTTGAAATATTGTCACTTCCAGTATGGGCGAAAGCATTGTTTTGTCGTTGCCCTGCCAATAGAATACATTTAGAATATAAGCATAACCGTCACACATTCTCGTTTTGTCGCCCCTTTATTTTTTTATTATTTGCAGGTTGAAATGTTTCATTATTTCTTCGTCGCCCATATATAAGCGAAAAAGCCTAGAAATTGTACGACACTAATTAACCTAGGTCCGTTTGTCTTTGGCAGATATTGCAAGCCTTAAGGGTCACCTTTTCTCTCAAGTCTTACAGCAATTGAATGTTTCTTGCCGGCAGAATTAGTTGTGTCCTACCACGCTCCTGGTTATAACCGGATTATAAATGCTTCACGAGCCTTTCACTGCTTTGTCATGCTTGGTGCGCATTGAGAGTGTGCCTTTGTCATTCCTGTCATGCTGTGACATATCATACCTTTTTGTTATGACAGACAGTACTGCACTGGCTAAAGTTGTACAACATAAGCCAATGTTGCCATACTTCAAAGACAGACTGTGTAAACACAAACGTCTAACTTTTTTTTTTTTTTACATGAAAAAAGGCATGATAATGCTTTTAGTAAGGAATAATGCTTACTATAATAGTGTACTGCTCTTGCCCTTACTGGCGAGCTTTTGCATTACAAGGGAATGTGATATAGTACCTTGTACTGAAACAGAAACGTCAAAAGTGGAACTTTCATTGTGCCTTTACAAAGAGTAAAAGTGTAGCCATAGCATCTGTGAGGAGACTGTTTCCCCGAGTGTGGTTTGATGATGATGCCCAGTGTCTAAAGTTGGCCCACCCTTGCCTATGTGCCCAGGTGCCATTGGAAGCGGCACTGGTATCCTGCTTGCCGTCACAATCATCTACCAGTACTTCGAGATCTTCATCAAGGAACAGGGGGACATGGGTGGCATGAGCACACTACTTTTCTAGGCTATCCACTTTTTTTTAACAGTGTATGTGTATTTAAGGAGATTAAAGGTGACCACTTTGTTAAGACGCTCGTGGCAGTCACTTCATGCCAACAACTGAAGACGCGGTTGTGACAGAGATGCCTTTCACAAGGAGAAAGTGGTGGAGCCCAGAGTGACATGCCGGAGAGTTCTCGTCTTTCACTTTACCTGTGGCTGCAAGAGAGCAGTTAGTGAGTTTTTTTTTTTTGTTATGCATGTGAGGTAGGAAGTGAATGCTTGTACATACAATTTGACCTGTGGAAACTGTGTTCACAAAGCTTGTATTCTATGTATGCTTTCTGAAGACCTGTATTTTTTTTTTTTTTTTTCTATTGCTAGAATTGCATCTCAGCATGTACAAATTTTGAGCAATTGGAATTCAAAGTTTTACCTTGCGACGGTATGAAGCATGTTGCAGTCTCGGAAAGCAAGCTCATGAAGAAAATGTGCGTATGAACACAAAGAAGCTGCATTACGCCCAGATTCCGGACATGGTTATGTATAAATTGTGCCGGTGTACAGCTGCACAAATGGCAAAATAAAATACACTTCAGCAATAACTATGCATCCTGTGTAAATTCTAGCTATAATTTAAGTGGTACTGTTTTTGTTTTTCTTTTAAGAAAGATGCAGCTTTGCCTGCTCAGACCCGTAAGAAAGCACCGGCCTAACTGTGCAGGGCTGGAATGTACATTGGATGCGGTCATTTCCATGGCAGGAAAATGTATATTGTGGCAACGTGGAACGCTGTGCATGAATCAAACAAGCGTGGTGTAAAGTGGCTTTATTTTCAATTTGGTTCCGGCATCCTACAAGTACAAAGACTGGCAAACCTAGCACGATACATTCCATCAAACACAAGTTTGGCACGTAGTATGATTCATACAGAATGTGTTTCTTGTATGGCAGCTATGGTTACTTTTATGATCACTACAGCTGCATGGAACTCTGGTGACCAAGTTGAGGTGCTAATCTAAATGGTGACAGCTCTTGGCTACAATGGCAGGACAATTACAAACACTAAACTACAAAGGTGTTTAATGGACACATCTAAAAGCAGGCGCCACTGGATAGACGTCGAGCCAGCTACTGCGAGTGCCCACATACTGAATGAACTGGGCATTAGCTTGCAGAAGTTGCAGAGATTCATAACCAGCCTCGATGCTAAACTGCACAATCTTTTCTCACAACTAGACTCTCAGACTTCTACACTTCTATCTAGCAAACACTGCTACATGTGCCACCCACTTTCTTTGGTCTTGTTTATAAATGTGTATAAATTGAAATGTGACTTCACACACCATAGTAGTTACATTACTTCACTATCACAGTAATTAAAATCACTGAACATACCAACAATAAGGTCATTGCAGCAAAAGCTTAACAATAGCATAGTATTGATTTGCTCCTTGAGACTGAAATCAATGCTTTTAAAAGCTTGGCAGCAGGACTGGGTAAATGATGCAACAATAAGTGAAGGTGCTGAGGTAAAACGACAGATGAAAATCCTGCTAATTAATGTTTTTAGGTTTGCACAGTACATGTGGTTGGGGGATTTGGGGCGAAAGCCTTGCTTTCCCCCTAAAAAAGCATTCTCCAAAAATACACTCATACTTGTGAATAATAAGCATGGTTTAAATTTACACTCCAGCCACAAATTTGCCCAACTCAAAAAAGAAGGAAAAAAAAAAAATTAGTCTTACTTGTTTCACAATCTTTCCATGCCTTTTAAAATGCAAGACAAAAATAAGAAAGCTACATACCATGTCTGGCCAGCTTTGCATGCCTTATGCCCACCCCCTTAAATTGTTGTACTGACATTCTTTAAAGATGAAATTTAAGTGAACATATGAGCCACTCAATGTGTTGATGGGGATTTGTTCGATCCGTACCAGTGAAATGAGATGCGAGGGGCTCTCAGGGTCCAGGGATGGTCGACTCAGTCTTCGAGCTTTCGCTTGGGCTTCTTGGGATTCCTGGAGCGACTCTTTGCCTTGCACAAAGGGCAAATGGGTGCATTGCGATGGATTTGCTGGTGGCAGGACAAGCATGCCTGGAACATAACACAAATATTGTCAAAACTGGTGTGCTGTTTCCAAAACATAGACTGTTAATGGCAAAAAGCCTTCAGTCTGAAGGACACTCATCTACCACTAATTTCAGCTTCTGAAACTGATACCCTTGACAATATGGTTGAAAGTATTCGTTTTGCACAGGGGAAAATTGCACTGTAAAGAGGAAAGAAGGTGACATCCCAGTCATCTGAAACTTGATAAACTACACCTCTGTCTTTAACAAGTTTTTTTTTCGGTCGGACATCAATCTGATGCACTCTTTGTTATATTCATTAGCCAAATAATGTGTTATTTCTTGACTATGCCATTCATGGACACATTTCATTGACACAAACGTTTCATCGACACTCGTTACGTGAATTGCAAGCTGTAGGGACATTTCGTCACGCGTCTATCACTGGGGTGCGCGTTAACCCAACACCCGCCTGCGTTCACACTGCTAAAAGGCGACAGTCCGCGGCGGCTCATTACAAAATTGTTAACTCACTTGACCGACCCGTGCACGGCACTTCGCGGTGACAGTCTCATGCAGCTTATTACAAAAAAAAGCTCATGTGAGCTGTTAATGAAACGTCGTTCAATGAATTGATTGCCACCACACCCTGAGGCCGGACTTGCAAATGTGTATACTCTATATCACAAAATGTCCGCAGTGCAGACGAAGCCAGGTGCGTGAGCTGAGCGCAGCTGAATGCATTGTTTCTAAGAGAACTTGCCCACAGAAGGCACTTTTGAGAGCCACGCATTCATGTTTAGCACTGCAGACATTTGTGAGAAAGCACATGCAGCTTCTCCACATGTAGGACACTGAACTTCGAAAGCACAGAGCAGACGGTAGATAAATGACCCCTTGGAATCGGCCCAAGGTGCCTTCGATTTCTGAACTAGAAAGTGCATAATTAAAGCAATTTCGTTGTTCCACTACTGCCACTAGACAAGAAATGTTGAAGCTTTTGCGACAGTCACTAGAGGACTGACTTTTGAAAAGGTTCCATCTGCCTCCTGGCACTCACTAGTGCCACTAAACAAGCCACACCGGATCATAGTGACATTTTAGTCGTCTGGTTGCTTAAAATTGTTTTTGCCAGTTTTCTATGGCTTTGTGCGAAATCACAGGAAACGCTTTTCCATCCTCCAGAAACTTTAGAACAGTACACAACAGAGCGATATCGCCCGAGCTCCCCAACACTATCCAAAGCTCGGGAAGTGGAATTTTCTAATCGTAACCATCACCGATTGTACCCGTTCTGCATATTGTGATAAGGAAAACGGCATTGCCAGCGCGTGGCACAGCGTGCCTGTGAGCCCGATAAACACAACTTGTTTTGGTGCACCCTTCTCCGAATACAAAATATGGACTGGACAACCGTATCCGCTTGTCACTCCAGTGAGCTCATTGAAAAGCTCTCACGTATTGGTGGAGGTGCAGGGCGGTTGAGGACGATTATTCAATGCTTCACCTAACCCGGTTCTCCAAGGTCGTACATTGTGACCCTGAAATGGCGACATTGGCCGAGCCCACTGCATCTACTTCGGCACCTCTGGTAGAGAGATGGAAGGGTCTTCCATCTCTCTACCGATTAGAACCGCAGTCATTTCGACGCCAATATTCTCCGTAACTGGTGCAAGTGCAACACCCCTCCCCACCCCATATGTCGGCTTCTGCCGCCACGGGCATTCCATCCCAACCGCCCCTCCTATACATGCCGTCCCGGCAGGGATCCCGGAGTCTTTTCTGACTTCGGTGACGAAGACGTGGAAGAATGGGTCAACTTCTACATCGGGATGAGCCTTCGCAAGCGCTGGAGATGACCACACAAAATTGGCGAATGTTGTGTACTATCTCACCAACGTCGCGAAAATGTGGTTTTTAAACCATGAAAACAAAATGACGTCTTGGGAAGCATTCTCTGCAAGTCTACACTATGCATTTGAATGGATAGTCTGTTTGAGGTATACAATAGCTGGAGAAGCCTTGCCCAGCATTTCTCTGGGGCACTTTTCAGGTCACGTCTTCGCTACATGTACTCGCAAACAGCGGAGGCTTGTCGCGTCCCGTCAAACCAAAACACTACCGGCACCATGTTGAATGTGCGTCGTCGCAAGATTTTCACCGACCAAACAAATACAACGAAAGCAAACCGGCTCTAGCTTCCAGCATACATCGACGGCCCCTTCTCCCTTCCTTCCCTCCCTCCCTCCTCCCTCCCTCCCCTCCTCCTCCCCTCCTCCTCCTCCTCCTCTCCCCCCCCCCCCCCCGATCCGCGGCCAGAAGTCAAGACGCTGCGTACTCCGCAGCCAAGTCAATCCAAGAGAATCCAAGAATGAGGGGCGGGGCGTACTTCTCCTGTGCGCGGGTCGAAAGAGCGGGAGTTTCAAATGTGGAGGTTATGAATCCGACTAAATTACGTCCTGTGGCGTAAATATTGTTTTATAAAAAATTTGCTTTCGCAGAAAATTTGTTTTATGACATGCTTGTCCCAATTAGGCTGTTTAAAAAATACTTTTTTTTCTTTGGAGTTACCCTAAGATTAACCGGCAATCTGGAAGTCGACCCGTCGACGGCCAAAATGGCCACAATATATGTTGTTGGGGTGACTTCGAAGGATAAAGATGGATTAAGCATTGGTTTTTGTAACCCCTAATACTGCCTCGGTCGTACCTGCCGAGCTCTGTAGTCGACGGGGCCAATCCCCATGCTTGTGCCCCGAACCCCAGAAACGACGCCAATAACTAAGCGTCTGTGTGCAAACGAATGGGGAGAGTAGCGGGCGCTGTTCACAACACGGCGGAACGTGGCCCTACCAGAAGCGAAGAGGTGTGTCGTGAAACCGCCCTATGAGCATAAAATGGCAGCGCCCACAAGACAATAGGGGGACAGAGTGTCGACGCTCCGAGCTTGGCTTCTTCGGAGGCCAAGCTCCGAAGAAGCCAAGCCTCCATGGCCCCTACCTTCATGGGCGGGGGCTGCTGGCGGAAGGCCGAGGGCTGGGGGCGTTCGGCGAGAGCCTTGCTCCTCCCCGGCTGCTGCATCTGCTGCACCGCTGCGGCCAGGGACGGGGGCAGGGCTGCTTCCGCCATGTCGCTCTGGTGCCACTCCGTCTTCTGCTTCTCGAAAAACCTGCACGCGCCCAACGAGAAAAGTCCCCCGGGTACCAAGGGCTTATACTTCATGTCACTAGTTTCATGCAGAACAGAAGAGGGCAATGACAGGTGAGGGGAGAAAGGGCAAGCACTAGGAAGGTGAGGAGGAGACAAACCTCCTCTCCTAACCTCCCTGTGCCCTCCTTTTCTCCACTCGCCCTCCGTGACCCCCTCTCCCGTCCCGCCTTCTCAGTACTCGCCCTTTCTCTTTTCGCCTGGCGTTGCCTTTGCCTGCGCTGCACAGAACTAGTGACACGGAGTATAGGTGGGGACATGCCTCTTTTAGCCGCCTCTCAATGCACCGTGCGAAGCACTTGCTGTTTGTACCAAAAAACTTCCAAATGCAGTTGTCCTCTCGCTGATCAGACGGCAGATAATTAAGCCTACTAGTCTCGCACTCGTCGAATACTTTGTGACGCTACCTGTATGACTCTTTACGATAATGAAGTTTGCCGCTGTCGTGTTGGCAAAGGTAGAGCCTTTACCTTGTGATTGCTCGGGTTTTATTTAGCTGGGTAGCATTGGTAGCTGTGTTCGCCATCGTCACTTGTGGCACACCTAGCAGTTCACTCAAAACATACGCATTACCCACAGCTGCACTCCACTGGTGGATGTGCGTGTAAGACTGCACTGGACATCTCAGTCACAAACCAGACACGCTCAGTTTGTAAGTGTAGATTACCTTGGGGAACAATATTAAGAAAACCTCTCTTACGGTTGGGCTTGGCTAAAACAGCTTACTACGGCTTGCCTTGGCCGATGGAAGGATAGGAGAAAAGCTCCCAGTGAATATACCTTAAAATAAACATTTTTTTTTTTTTTTTTTTTTAACAGAAAGGAATTAAACAGAGACAGCAAAAAGGACAGCACATCTTGCAATGTCTGCTGCCTTTATATGAACGTGCGCTCTGCTACATAAAAGATACATTCCGATCTTGGGATATTCATAAAGCAAAACAAATTCCAACGTTACAAACTGTTGACTGCAGATATTCGAGAAACAACACCATATAAATCAAAAGCGAACTTGACAGCAGTTAAGGCTGGTAGGAAGAACATAAAACGGAACCTCTTGGAAACTTTAGTAGGAAGACTCTGAGGGACAGCTGACTTTTCACTAAAGGAAAGTCTCTTAGCAAAACGTCAGCTGTCACTCAGAAGCTCCAGAGGGTTCATTTTCAAGTATACACACCTATCAAATAAATAGGTTTCTTTAGCTCGAAGCAAGGCTTGGAATCGGCCTTACTAAAAACAATGTAATAAGGTATGGTCCGCACTCAAAAAAATTAGCCCAAACAAGCAATTGCCAGATCAAAAAAGGGCAACATGTGGCGCTGCAGTCATGCAAACACAATGGAAATGAGACTGCTTGGCAGGTGCCATTTTTGTAGCATGGAGGAGGTTGGCAGACAGCAGCCGTTATCAGAGCACGATTTTGGAAAACCACTGCTCTGCCATAGGCTTTAGCTGGCCAAGCATGAGCGTGCATACGGGGTCTCTTTTTGCTTGTTTGCTAAGAGAAGTGATATCCTCGTATTTATTTGCCGCTTTACCGCTATTGGTGGTTCTTAAAGGGGCACCGAGGAGGTTTTTGAGATTTGAGATAAATATGGCAATAACTCACTCTGTTTGCTCTAAGCATCCTAGAATCCGTAATCATGATAATATGCGGTCAATCTCCTTATTAAAAAAGCAATCAAAAATTGCAACACGCCGAGGTCATCTCAGGCAATAGGAGGAGCATGTTTCGAAACCAGGACTACTGTCAGCCAACAGCAAGCAAAGGATCCTCATGTCACCGACTGGTAGACCCGCGGAGTGATATCTCGAATGCGCGCGCCTCGTCGCTTGGACGCCGGGACTTGGGAGAGTTTTTTTAGTCAGTCGTGCTGTCATAGCAGACGAAGTCAATTGTGTACCATCGTAGCCATTGTGTCATGAGCGTGCATACGGGGTCTCTTTTTGCTTGTTTGCTAAGAGAAGTGATATCCTCGTATTTATTTGCCGCTTTACCGCTATTGGTGGTTCTTAAAGGGGCACCGAGGAGGTTTTTGAGATTTGAGATAAATATGGCAATAACTCACTCTGTTTGCTCTAAGCATCCTAGAATCCGTAATCATGATAATATGCGGTCAATCTCCTTATTAAAAAAGCAATCAAAAATTGCAACACGCCGAGGTCATCTCAGGCAATAGGAGGAGCATGCTTTGAAACCAGGACTACTGTCAGCCAACAGCAAGCAAAGGATCCTCACGTCACCGACCGGTAGACCCGCGGAGTGATATCTCGAATGCGCGCGCCTCGTCGCTTGGACGCCGGGACTTGGGAGAGTTTTTTTAGTCAGTCGTGCTGTCATAGCAGACGAAGTCAATTGTGTACCATCGTAGCCATTGTGTCATCGCCCCCCCCCCCCCCCCCCCCACCAAGGCTCTCGCTAACCTGACACTGATGATTCAGCCCAGCGAGCGCACGCTCAAGAGCAGACCAGCAGATGTCTGAACACATTACTCCCGCAAAAAAAGAAAAAAAAAAGAAAGCATAGTGCACTGTTTTTTTTAAACGATTATTGCAGTATTGTTCTCTCTCCACGAAAAATTAACATTTGTCTCATACTCTTATTTGCTCTTATCATCTCCAAAAGCATACACATTCTGTAATAACGGCGTTCACAATCTTCACAAAATGTTGCGTTTTTATTAGTCACATGTCGTCCTGGCTGCCGGAACATGCTCCTCCCATCGCCAGAGATGACCTCGGCATGTTGCTATCCTTGATTGCTTTTTTATTAGGGAAATTGGCCGCGCATCATTGTGATTTAGGAATTTCTAGAATGCTCAGAGCTCACAGAATGAGTTATTGCCATATTTAAGTGATCTCAAAAACCTCCTCAAGGCCCTTTTAAGACAGTGAATTTGCAAGGATCATAAATGAAAGCATCAATGTAGTAAAAAAAAAATTATTTGCAAATGATAACACTCTGTTGAAGCACACCTGGGATAAAAATGTGGGAATGGCTCAATTGCACTTGCTCTCGGTTTATATTTGCAGTAATGAGTGTCGTGTGTGGCAATTTCACCGTTTTAGCCATCGACCACTTGCGTTAACTTCTTTTAGTGCCAACTGCAGTATAAAGAACTTCTGAATTCCTAGCAGTACAGTTTACACAAACCGCTCCCCAACTGTGGAGCACCGTTTTTGTTGGTTACTTCTTCTGGTACCACCACATGGGCCATAAGGGAAGAACCTTGCGATCAGCCTCTCCCAGGCGCATACTTATAATGACACACTGATCACCAAGTGGCTGATCCTTTTGCATCTGGCCCAGTGTGAAAATGGAGGCCACTGACTCTGGCTTGAAGGTCTGGTCCTCCTCGTGCAGTTCTGGCAGCTTCTGAAGACCAATTTCCAGCCGGAGCTTGTCGACGAGATCCTTGAGTGGCTTGTACTCGTGGTGCATCTGCTTGGCACCGTCCAGGTGCTTGTTCCTGTCCTCTTCAGACTGCTTGATGACGGTCTCCATCTGCAGGGGGACAGGGTTGCGGAAGTTCTCAGCGCTTCGTTTCATCTCAAGGTTTTAATATTAAAAAGTCGCAGAACCATTTTTTTTTTTCACCCATTTCAGGTTCTTTCAGATTGTTACGTAGTTGACGCGTGATTCCTAGATGGCGCCAGTATTGGGGGTGTAAAAGGCCGCAGGTCCGCGTCATCTGAGACGCTAAAAAGATCCTCACCGTTTCGTCGTGCAGAGAAATTTTCAACCTTAGGGAGCGGCGTTTTGAACGCTGACTCCCTATTGCATTTACTGTGCACTACGTGTATTCAGATGGAGCGTTTCAAATCACATTTCTGATCGATATGATAAATTCACTTTGCTAGTGTCAATAATATTTTTCTGATTTCAACCAGTTCATACATGACCTCAGCCTATATTCAAAGAGTGCAGTCGGACTTGGCGCCGTAACAACCGTAATGCGCAAAAAAAACAAAATGTATGAGGAAAGAAAAAATTATGAGGTGCCACAATGCTATGGAGTTAATGAATGTATGTAGGATGTTGCTGGACATTTCGACAAGTGAAACATTGTGACATGTTCATATAGGTTTAAAATACTGTAAACAACTTAGTTTTCGCAAGGGCCTAATTCGCAAATCGCCTACAATTCACGAAAAATAGGTCTGGCAAACAATTCCGGTAAAATGTAAAAAATTGGTATCTATATTGAGATCCCACCGCGTGGCGAAAATTAGAACCCGCGGATTATTCCAAAACTTCAACTTCGACCTAAATTGCAAAATATTGCCACGCTCGCCGGCGAGCGACCGCGCGCGTGACCGAGTGGTTAGCGTGCTTGACTGTCGCGCAGAAAGTCTGGGTTCGATTCCAGTCAGTGGAATGATCTTTTATTTGTTCTTTCAACATTGCGTTCTCGTGTGTTCGAGAACATTCTCGTATGATCGAGTTCCGAATGTTCCAGTCGCCGAACAATCTGGGCCGATTGTTCCAGAACCCAACGCGCGTACATAAGGGACTCCGCCTCCTGATCTGCAGCCAGTTTCGCCCCAGCGCTCGACTCTGCTGTCTCGCCGACCTCGACGCTCGCGACGCTTTGTTATTATTTTCTATTCTCCTTTTTGTTTTCGGCACAAGTTCGCCACATTAAACGTTTATTTCTTCCTGTTTATTTGTTGTCATTCTGGTCACCACCCGTGACATTTTGGTGGAGGTGCGGGGTACCGCATGCCCGTGCAGCGTTCCCCTCCAAGGGCCCGCACTCCAAGTCCGGTTCCTAGCTCGGTGAGAAGACCACTCACCGCGGAAGCTGAAACTCGGACCAGCCGCCGCACCAAGGAAGAGGATCCTGACTACGGTTTACTGCTGGACACGCCCAAGCCGGAGACGACGACGATGGCCAACCAGTCGCAGAACCCCGCCGCTCCTGCCGTCGTCTACCTACCCGTCGCTCCTCGGACACCGGCTCCCTTCCACGGCGAAAGCCACGAAGACATCGACGACTGGGTCCAACAGTACGAACGAGTGGCCCGTCATAACGGGTGGACACCAGAACAGTGTCTACAGAATGCTTACTTCGCCTTGGAAGCAACCGCTCGGAACTGGTTCGAGAACCACGAAGCATCGATCACCTCCTGGGAGCAACTCAAAGCTGAGTTGCGAAGAACGTTCACGAACCAACAACGAAGAGAACGCGCGGAAGAGCTTCTTCAAGCGAGAATCCAAGGCCCTAACGAGAGCATCGTCAGCTTCGTGGAGGATGTCCTGCGACTCAGCAACCGCGCCGATCCTCAAGCCTCCGAAGCGAAGAAGCTGAGAATCCTGATGCGAGGCGTCAAAGAAAACATCTTCGGAGGCCTTGTGCGAGCCCCGCCTACCACAGTCGAAGGATTCATCACGGAGGCAACAAACATTGAACGTGCCCTTCAAGCACGGGCCTCCCATTACCAGCGACTTCCCGGCGTCGCGGCCCTCCCGACTTCCAGCTGCAACAGCCCGGACCTCCGCGAGATTATCCGGGACGTCGTGCGGGAGGAGATCAAGAAACTTCTACCTGCCGCCGCAAGCCCAGCTTCGCCCTCAATCGCCGAGATTGTCAGGGAAGAAGTCCAGCAAGCGCTGCAGCCTGAGGTTCCCGTCAGTACCGCTCCGGAACCACCGACATTGAGTTACGCCGCAGTGGCCCGACGGCCACCGCCTCCTCGTCGCACCTATGTCGCGCCGCCCCGACGTCAGTCTCCTGCGCCGCAGCACGACCGACGCCACGACGACCAGGTCCAGTACGCCTGCCCGGAGCCTCGCGCACCCCGCAAGACCGACGTGTGGCGAACGCCCGACCGACGCCCTTTGTGCTTCCATTGCGGGGAAGCGGACCACATCTTCCGCCGATGCCCATACCGACGACTCGGGCTACGCGGGTTCCACCCGAACGACCCGCGCCCCCGTCATGGTGAACGCCCTACTGAGATCGACGAGTACCTGCGAAGACCTCAGTCCCCCGAGCCTGCGTCCCAACGCGAGTTCCGGTCGCCGTCACCGCGACGTCCAGCTTCGCCGATGCACCGACCACGACGTGAAAGCCTGTCCCCCCTCGCTCCTCGCCGGGGAAACTAGGCGTGGCAACCCCTGGAGGTGGAGTTGCCGAAGACGACCGACGCCAAGATCCTCCACGAACGTCGGGGGGCCCCCACTCGAACGCTACCAGAGACCAAAACGACGCCGCTGCAGTGGTGTCCAATAACCTAAACGTCGTCATCGACGGCCACGACGCATCTGCACTCGTGGACACCGGAGCAGACTACTCAGTCTTGAGTGGAAGGCTCTCCCGCCGCCTTCGAAAAGTCATGACGCCGTGGGATGGACCTCAAATACGAACCGCCGGAGGGCACCTCATCACACCCATCGGGAGATGCACTGCTCGCGTCGAGATCCGCGGTGAGACGTGCCCTGTGAAGTTCGTCGTTCTACAAGACTGTTCCAGAGACGTTATTCTCAGCATGGACTTTCTGTGTGAATACGGCGCCGTCATCGACCTTGGTGAGAACAGATTGACGCTGCGCAAGCCTGTTCCGTCTTCAGAGAAACCTCAAACAGCGTCAGCCACCGTCCGAGTCGCTGCCGACCACGTGAACCTGCCGCCGCGATCAAGTGTTGTCGTACCCGTTGTGGCTGATGCAGCTACCTGCGGCGAAGTTGTTCTTGAAGGCAACCTTCAATTACTCCTAGAAAGAGGAATAGGCGTCGCAAGAGGAGTGGCTGAACTTCAGGATGGGCGCACCGTGGTCTTCGTGACAAACTTTCGACAAGAAGCGCAACACCTCACGAAAGGTTCCACTGTAGGCCACGTCGAGGAAATTCGGAACTCCGCCGAAATCGCCGCGATTGCTGATGAATCATTCCCACCTCAGCAACACGATACGGCACCAGCGCAGCTCGACATTGACCCCAAGCTTCCAGGCCCGAAACAACGGCAGCTAAGGGAACTTCTCGCCGAATACAGTGACTGCTTCGCGACGTCGTCGAGGGTGCGCCAAACCGCCATTGCGAAACACCGCATCGTTACTGAGGAGGACGCGCGCCCTGTGCATCGATCGCCGTACAGAGTCTCCGTTAAAGAAAGGGAGGTGATCCAGGAGCAAGTGCAAGAGATGCTGAACGACGACATAATCCAACCTTCAAGCAGTCCGTGGGCCTCTCCAGTTGTACTGGTTAAGAAGAAGGACGGAACGCTTAGGTTCTGCGTGGACTACCGGCAGCTGAACGCAGTGACGAAGAAAGACGTCTATCCACTTCCCCGCATCGACAACACGTTAGACCGGCTGCGCCACTCCCGATACTTTTCATCCATGGACCTGAAGAGCGGCTACTGGCAGATCGAAGTCGACGAACGGGACCGAGAGAAGACAGCTTTCGTCACGCCAGATGGGCTGTACGAGTTCAAAGTGATGCCCTTCGGACTGTGCACGGCTCCAGCAACTTTCCAGCGTGTCATGGACACCGTACTGGCAGGACTGAAGTGGCAGAGCTGTCTCGTCTACCTCGATGACGTCGTAGTGTTTTCCAGCGACTTCGACGAGCACTTGCGACGACTCCGAGCAGTTCTCCAAGCCATACGGACCGCCGGACTCACCCTGAAGCCGTCAAAGTGTCGGTTCGCCTATGACGAACTGAAGTTCCTAGGTCACGTGGTTAGTAACGAAGGCGTTCGCCCCGATCCAGAGAAGACTCGCGCCGTCGCAGCATTTCCAGCACCGACAGACAAGAAGGCCGTGCGAAGGTTTCTTGGACTATGTGCCTACTATCGGCGCTTCATCCGGGATTTTGCAAGGATTTCCGCACCACTCACAAACCTCACAAAGGACGCCGAGAAGTTCGAATGGGCCGAGAAGCAGCAGCAGGCATTCGACGAGCTGAAGCGACGACTGCAGACTCCTCCTGTTCTAGGACATTTCGATCAAGATGCGGAAACCGAAATTCACACGGACGCAAGTAACGCTGGACTTGGCGCGGTACTGGTTCAAGTGCAAGACGGCACCGAGCGAGTTATCGCCTACGCAAGTCGAACACTGTCCAAGGCGGAGAAAAATTACTCCACGACTGAGAAAGAATGCCTCGCTGTCGTCTGGGCAATCACGAAGTTTCGTCCGTATTTGTACGGGAGCCCGTTCCGTGTAGTCACGGACCACCACTCGCTCTGCTGGCTTGCGAACCTCAAGGACCCGTCAGGACGCCTCGCTCGATGGAGTCTACGACTACAAGAGTTCAACATGACTGTGGTCTACAAGTCAGGCCGCAAGCACAGCGACGCCGACTCCCTGTCCAGAGCCCCCGTCGAAACACCTTCCGCCAGTAGCAACGACGATGACGACGAGTGCTTCCTAGGTGCAGTAAACACCGACGACATGGCACGACGTCAAAGAGACGATCCTGAGTTGCGCGCGCTAATCGAGCACCTCGAAGGACGAGGGGGTAGTGTCCCCCGTGTCTTCTCGAGAGCCCTGCCGACTTTC